ACTCTGCCCCCTTCATCCACTGGCACTCACAGGCCCACCACCACCTCCTGCTCCTGCCAAATGGGACAGAAATGAAATCTTGCAATAAAAGTTTTTGAACTCAATATATTGTTGATTAATATCTAGGAGTGTCATGGTTCATTGCAGAGCTGGACTTTGAAGCGTTGCCCCAGTTTTTGGTCTCTTGGCTTGTGGAAGAATCACAATCTCAAGGCTTGGAAGAATCACAGCCTTGGCCTGAAGGAAGGAGAGAAATGACGGACATTCAGCAAGTAAGCGTGAAGAATTGATCCTAAGGGAAGTTTAAGAGTGCAAAGCGAAAGTACATTTCCTAAGGTGAACTGGGTCTGTCTCCACAAGTGGAGAAGACACTAATTAACTCTAGAATTGCTCCTTTTATATGTTAGTAGTTGATGCTAAAAGTTAGTTATAATTACTTATGACTATATGGCATGGGTTTAGGGGACTGAATTTTTCCAGGTTTGGACATAAGGTTATGTTCCAGTCATTCCTTTCTCGCATATGTATGATGGGGAAAGTCTCTGTTTAAGGTGTCTATTTTCTGATTGGTGGTCAGTGTTCCATCGTGTAATCACCCTACTCTTAAGATTGAAATGACTGTTTCCCCTGGTTATTTTTTTGGTAAATATTTCCTGCTTATTGTTATCTTATAACTGTTTCTTCCCTCATATTTTTCAGCCCCTTTCATTCCATTACCTCTGACCTGTTTCTCTGTCCTTCTTGTTAGTGTGGAAAGGCTAGTAGGTGCTCACAGCACTGGTGTTAATGAGAAAAGTCATAGGATTGATCTTTAATTGTTACTGGGGAGATGGGGGGGTTTAGGTATTTTCCAGTTATTTTTGCAAGGCTGATGCTTTTACCTAACAGGAGTGGCAGATACATATGCTTCCCTTTTCATGGCAGGTCAAAGATGAACTTTGATTATGCTTTGGAGGGTGTGGTTTGCCTCGAAAATTTTTTTAAAAATATATATGAAGTAGTAGGGGATTGTTAGGAGGGCTGGTCTGTTTCCTTGTTTTTTTGTTGTTGCTATTGTTGAGACAGAGTCTCACTCTGTCTCCCTGGGTAGAGTGCAGCACCTTCACTGTAGCTAACCCCAACCTCCAACTGTTGAGCTCAAGAGATCCTCCTGCCTCAGCCTTCTGAGTAGCTGGTACTACAGGCACATGCTGCAGTGCCCCACTGGGGTTTTTTTCCTGTCTCTTTTTGGTGGAGATGTTTGTTTCACTCTTGCTCAGAGTAGTGTTGAACTCCTGAGTTCAAGCATCCTCCTGCCTAGGCCTCCCAGAGTGCTAGGATTACAGGCCTGAGCCACTGCCTCAGGCCGCCTCTTTAAATTCCTTGCTAGTCTTTACTAGTGCTGTGCTGCTTAGGGGCAGCCAAAGTGCCTGCCCTTATTTAAGAGATGCATGTGCACCTGTCTTCATTTATAAAGGAGCTGGCATTGGGAAAAATCAAACCAGTTCTGCACCATGGGGAAGCAGCAGCTTAGGACAGAGGCAGCTCCACAGTGTGAGCTAAGTAAGTAGCCAGCTGGCATGCAACAGCCCAGGGAAGCTGCTCAGCCTAGCACACCTGGGAGGGGGACAAGAACTGCTCCAGCCATTTTATTTTCTAGTTTTAGCAGAAGTTCCCAGAGGAAAGGTTCTGTTCTGGAGGGACTTTGTCAAGCCTTTCTGAAACTCTACAGATGCGTTGTAGAGAGATTCTCAGAACTAATTTGTGCATTTTCTTTTCTCTCCAGGAGAAATTCTGTATAGAAACTAACCTGCTCCAGGAAGCAGATGATGCTTGGCCCAATTTTGTTTTTGTATTTGGTTTGATTCTGGTGTCCGAGCTTGTTTTTACTTTGCACTTTATGTGTATATTTCTCTTTGTAGTTCACCCGCCTTTCCTCATCTCTTGGACTCTCTTACTAACGAATAAAATTTTCTCCTAGCAGTGTTTTACTTGAAGAAAGAAGCCCGATTATCTTTAATGCCGTAAACGGTGGTGGAGGTGTTTCTAAGACTTTTTTGGTAGCTTTAAATGACATTGTAAAAAATGAGGGTGACTTGTCAGACCATTTAATCTCCCTACTCACCAGTTTGACAGTCATCATCAAACGAAAGTCTGGGCTGGCTGTGAGGTTGAGGCTGGGGATGGAATGGGATTGCTTTTGGATAGGTAAGGATCAAGTCTCAGCAGTAGTGAGGCAGCTGGGCAGGATGGAGGAAAACAATTCACTAGCGGGGCTTGGGAGCAGCACAGCTGAGGCGTTCAAACTGGCTACACTAGCTGATGTTTCGCAGTTTCCTCCCAGGTGCGTGGTGCTCTTGGTGGGGCAGATACTATGATGTGGCTCTGGGGGCGACAGGAAATAGCCACCGAGGTGGCTATACTTTATAGGTCTCCAGAAGAAAGGGACTTCTCAGTACCTGACGTGAGGACACTGCCATCTATGGCAGGATTTATTTATTTATTTATTTTTTGAGACAGAGTCTCGCTTTGTTGCCCAGGCTAGAGTGAGTGCCGTGGCGTCAGCCTAGCTCACAGCAACCTCAAACTCCTGGACTCAAGCAATCCTCCTGCCTCAGCCTCCGGAGTAGCTGGGACTACAGGCATGCGCCACCATGCCCGGCTAAGTTTCTCTATATACATTCGTTGGCCAATTAATTTCTTTCTATTTATAGTAGAGACGGGTCTCGCTCTTGCTCAGGCTGCTTTCCAACTCCTGACCTCCAGCGATCCACCCGTGTCGGCCTCCCAGAGTGCTAGGATTACAGGCGTGAGCCACCTCGCCCGGCCTATGGCAGGATTTTTATCTGTTCCCAGGCTGCCCGCAGGTGGGAGTTGCCAAATCCGTGCTCCGTATGGGTGGGACCAGTGCAAGCAACAGCCCTGCGGGATGCACCGTAGGTACAGACGCCCGCCCCCAGCTTCACCTTAGTGTGGGCGGAGCCTCGTATCAGTGGCTGGCCAATCGCACGGCGGCGGGGAATCCAGCCAATAAGACTGTGCGGCTGCTGTACTGTCGGCCAATCGCAGGAAGGGAAGTGGGTTGGTCAGCCTCGCCCTGCCTCCGGAGATTTGTAGCTGTGGGCCTCAGCTGTAGGGCGCTGGGGTGTGTGTGTGTGGGGGTGGTGGTGGCCCTATGGCTAGCTTCTGGCAGGCTCCCGGCCTGGTGTGGGGCAGGGTGCTCTGTTCAGGGCTTCCAGGCGAGGTGTGGTCAGCGAGGGCCTGGGGCACGCGGCACCGGGTCCGGGAGACTGATGAAGCCCCCTTATTTGAAGAAAGACGGAAGCCGGGCAGGGTGGCTCAAGCCTGTAATCCTCGCGTTAGGCCGAGGCGGGAGGGTTGCTGGAGCTCTAGTTCGAGACCAGCCTGAGCAAGAGTGAGACCCCCGTCTGTCCTATAAATAGAAAGAAATTAGCCAAACTACTAAAAAAAGAAAAACAATTAGCCGGGCATGGTGGTGCATGCCTGTAGCCCCAGCTACTCAGGAGGCTGAGGCAGCAGGATCGCTTGAGCTCGGGAGTTTGAGGTTGCTGCAAGCTAGGCTGACAACACGGCACTCTAGCCCAGGGAAGAAAGTGGGACTGTGTCTCAAAGAAAAAGAAAATAAAAAAATAAGAAGGAAGCCCAAGAGGAGGTCTCGAGGAGTGAACACCTCTGGTCGCAGGGGCCTCACTCCTTCCCTGCTACAGCCTAGGCCAAATGGCCCAACTGGCGCGCTGGATGGAGCGCCAGGACCCGCGATCCGGGGCGGGCTGACTCTCGTCAATGGCGCGGAAGAGGCCCACAGGCACAGGGCAAGGTCTCTTGCTGCCGCCTTATCAGTGGAGCCCTGGGGCCCCGGCTGCTCCTTGGAGCCTCTCACCACCCCACTTAAACCAAAACACTCGTTTTAGTCCAGCAGACACGCATAGATGGCCTTCCGTGTGAAGGGCCTAGGCAGGCTGCTAAGTAGTTGTGTGTAGATTGGTTTTAGTGCTGTTTGTGCAGCTCTCAGGCTCCCTCTCAGGATTCCATACTCAAGGAGAAGGGTTTTTCTGTAGGGGCATATTACACATAAGTGGGCTGGATGCCTGTCCAGCTGTTAGGAGTGAGATGTCCCTTTTAAAGCTTTTGCTTTTTGATAGTATGCCTTTGCTTTCTTTGGGCTTCTTCCAATTCCTGACCTCATATATCAGACTATTTCAAAGAGCATCATTAGGGGAGATTGAAGACTTTAGGCTTGAGTTTCCTGTGTGTAAAATGAAGACATTCTCACGTTGTCCGTGCGTCAAAGGGGTATTATGAAGTTAAAGGCATGTGACATCTCTCTGAAGTGGAAAGCGAAAGCAAAAATATGGAAGGAGAGCTCACAGGGGAGATAGGCTTCTAGAAACTTTTGCTGGCATAATTTTAGTGAATGTTGGTGACGACAGGGGAAGCTGTGTTTCCCTTGACTTCTGTGGAGTCTGAAGCATGACTGGTTTGCATCATTTCTTGGCCATGTCAACCTTTGAGCGAGTTCCTCACAAGTTACTTTATTCTTTCGTTCCACATACTTAAAATGGGGATTGATAATATCAATCTTTAGGGTTGTTGGTAAGGATTAAATTAGTTAAGACAAAGTTTTTAGAACAGTTCCTGTCATGTAGGAGTTTTTGTTATTACATGTGCCTTCTTTCCCCTGTCTTCTAAACTAAAGAATTTTGACCTTATTATTTATTCTTTGCTTAGAATCCCATGCCCTATTGCCAGTGAAACCTTAGGCTGTGCTTTCCATCCACATCATTACTTTTGATCTGAGGGTATATGGTGTAATTTACATGTGACTAGAGGCTTTTTCTGCCGGGTGTTTGTTTTATTAAATAAGGTTGGAAATTATCATTGTACTAAGTCATTTACTGTGATAACTGTGTTGGCTAACTGAAACCTGAGAACTTTGGCTGTTTATTTTTTTACTGGACATTATTTCATTTACAGTCTTGCTTGGCCTGGGCAGTTTCTTTTGGATCCAATCCCAAAAGGCCATGATTGCAGCATACTCGGTTTCTCATGTTTCCGGAAAGGCTGTGGGACTCAGAAGGGGAATTTCTGGGTAGCCTGGCAGCACTTCTTGTTAAGGATTGGGGAAGGTTCGTGTAAAGCTAATCTTACTTTACTATTAGGAAATCAGCAGTGGTCCTTGGATTCCTCCACAGAGCTACTTAGTAGCTTTGGTTCAGTTTTGACTCACTGAAGTTTAGAGAATGGAATCTGCAAAGTAAGATCTTTTCTGTTGGACTTTCAGTGCTAAGAATTTGTGTGGGTGCTGTTGAATCAAAGACATCTTTATTTTCTGCCTCCTCACCATGCAGGTAAATACAAATGTCTGATGACAGATTTATGCCCTTTTAAGCCCTTTAAGGGCTTAAAAATCCCTTTCACGTTCTCTTGGTGCTATCTGGGAGACCACAGTGGTAGACTGTTTTGTCTTCTAATTCTCCCCTTTAAGGAAACTGCTATTTGTACACTTAGCATGATTAAGAACTATTAACATGGTCGGGCGCGGTAGCTCACTCCTGTAATCCTAGCACTCTGGGAGGCCGAGGTGGAGGGATTGCTCGAGGTCAGGAGTTGGAAACCAGCCTGAGCAAGACCCGGTCTATACTAAAAATAGAAAGAAATTAATAGGCCAATTAATATATATAGAAAAAATTAGCCAGGTATGGTAGCACATGCCTATAGTCCCAGCTACTTGTGAGGCTGAGGCAGGAGGATTGCTTGAGTCCAGGGGTTTGAGGTTGCTGTGAGCTAGGCTGATGCCACATCACTTACTGTAGCCTGGGCAACAAAGTGAGATCCTGTATCAGAAAACAAAAACAGGCCGGGCGTGGTGGCTCACGCCTGTAATCCTAGCACTCTGGGAGGCCGAGGCGGGTGGATTGCTCGAGGTCAGGAGTTCGAAACCAGCCTGAGCAAGAGCGAGACCCCGTCTCTACCATAAATAGAAAGAAATTAATTGGCCAACTAATATATATATAGAAAAAATTAGCCAGGCATGGTGGCACATGCTTGTAGTCCCAGCTACTTGGGAGGCTGAGGCAGCAGGATTGCTTGAGCCCAGGAGTTTGAGGTTGCTGTGAGCTAGGCTGATGCCACGGCACTCACTCTAGCCTGGGCAGCAAAGCGAGACTCTGTCTCACATAAAAAAAAAAAAAAAAGAAAAGAAAACAAAAACAAACAAACAACTAATCACAAAATGAGAAACATTGAATTTATGAAAAAGAACACTGCTTACTATAGTAGCATGCTGGCCAGATTTGGCTGAAGTACAGATGTTAAAGTTTAGTTATTTATCTTTGGAATAAGACAGTTTAATCCCCCTTTAGGGTTAAAGTTGACTGTTGGCTTGATAAGAATGATGAATAGTGTTTTGAAATCTTTCTATTTGTGCTTGAGTAAGGAGACAAGGGAATGACACTCAAAGTGTTGAGTGTGTTTGAGGCAAAAAGGGAAAACTGCTGCCCTAATATTGTCATCATTATCATGTCTGGATCTCTATGATTTGAATAAGATATTCTGGAAAAGAAGGCAGGGGCATTCGAATGGGCAGAATATGAGGAGTTAGAAGACCTAGACCAGGCTTCCTCAAACTACGGCCCGAGGACCACATGTGGGTGTTTTTGCCCGTTTGTTTTTTTACTTCAAAGTAAGATATGTGCAGTATGCATAGGAATTTGTTCATAGTTTTTTTAGAACTATAGTCCGGCCCTCCAATGGTCTGAGGGACAGTGAACTGGCCCCCTATTTAAAAAGTTTGAGGACCCCTGACCTAGACCATGGCCAGACAGAGTGACTCATACCTGTAGTCCCAGCTACTTGCATGGGAGGATTACTTGAAGTCAGGGATTTCCCCTGTCTTCAAAACAAAAAATTATTAATTGGCCTCCAAAAATAAAAAGAAGAGCTCTGCAGGTATCATCGGGAATATTCTGGATAAAGTGAATCAACACATATGTAATATGAAGTATATTTTAATGAAATCAGAATGGAATATAAAACAATTGGCCAGGAATGACAAAAATATATTTATTGTGTAACTCCCTTTTCATTTTCAATTTAAGGTCAGAGTAATTTATATTTTCTAGTGTAAGGACTAAAGTTTCCAGTAAAGACATAGGCAGGGAAATTAGGGTTCTCAGTCTTGTACTATTGCTGGCAGGTCAATTTGTATGGATTTTTTTGTTTGTTTGGGTCTCATTTCTAATAATCTGGTGACTATTAAAACTAGGTAACAAAAGAAGAAGGCTACAAGTTAATTATTAAAATTTTAGAAAGTTCTAAAGAGCAGAAGGAGGTTTGTAGAAGGGTGAAGAATCGTATCTTGTAGTATTTGTTACCTGTCTACATATAATCTTTCTTTGGTTTGAAAAAAAAACTGAGGAAAATATGTACTTAAAGTGAATCTACACTTTGGGGGCAATATCTGTCATTAGAATAAATGGGTTACATATAATCTAATGATAATCATTCTTCCTGTTGCCAAAAAAGCTTCTTTTTTTTTTTTTTTTTTTTTTTTTTTTTTTTTTTTTTGTGACAGAGTGCCTCTCTGTTGCCTGTACTAGAGTGCCATGCAATCAGCATAGCTCACAGCAATCTCAAACTCCTGACCTCAAGTGATCCTCCTGTCTCGGCTTCCCAGACTGCTAGGATTATAGGCATGAGCTACTGCACCTGTCCTTAATGAAAGGCTTAATGCACAGTTAAAATAATCTGATTAGTTGAGGTGGTCTTTTTCTTTGTAGAAAGGTATATTTAACATTCCACACTGGAATGGAATTATCATGGGGTCTTGGACACCATCACTTCTGAGTTAGGTACAAGACAATAAAGGAGGCAGTTAATCTCTAGCAAAGATCAGTGATTAGAAGGGGTAAAGGTCTGGTCTCTGGTCTCTCATAGTCATTTACAGAAGAAGAACAATGCGGAAGAGAGTTAAAGTATAAGCAGAATTGCAAACATGCTGTGTAACTTAGTTCTCAGGCTTAACTTACTCCTTTGCATAATAAATTTAGAGGGTCCTGAAATTTTATTATCTCTTAGGGTTCTAGATCTGACTTGTGGTTTCTAATTTATTGTAGGTTAAGATAACCTGATAGGCCAGGCCCAGTAGCTAACGCCTGTAATCCTAGCACTCTGGGAGGCCGAGGCAGGTGGATCGTTTGAGCTCAGGAGTTTGATACCAGCCTGAGCAAGAGCGAGACCCCCTCGTTACTAAAAAAAAAAAAAAAAGAAAGAAATTAGCTGGACAACTAAAAATATATAGAAAAAATTAGTGAGCATGGTGGCACATGCCTGTAGTCTCAGCTACTTGGGAGAATGAGGCAGAAGGATTGCTTGAACCCAGGAGTTTGAGGTTGCTGTGAGCTAGGCTGATGCCATGGCACTCAAGCCTGGGCAAAAGAGTGAGACTCTGTCTCAGAAAAAAAAAAAAGATAACCTGATAACCTGGCATATTAGAATTATATGTAAAACAAAAGTAAGAAGGCCTTGGGGAGTGCAAAGGGGCTGTGCTATGATTATGATCCAAGGGAGTACTAGTATTCTGAGTGGTCAGACATACACATCCCATTGAGTTAGGTGCTATCGTAAATGGCTCAAGAGGGGTTGGTTTAGCTAGTGTTATTAGGCTCTGGTGTTTAGGAATCTGGTGGCTTCAAATGTGACAGGAGAGACTTGGCTAGTGGTCCATTGTAATATAATACTTGACATTAGTGACTCTTGAGAGAAAATACTGTGTTTTTCAAATTAGGAAGTGGTGGTATATTTTATACATCACAAGGCAGGTATAAACCTAAAAACTTCTTTCAGATCTGAATTCTGTAATTCTATAAGATAGGTATAGAATATGTTGGTAGATAGAGAGATTTACCCAAAAGAGAAAGTAAGAGGTTGGTCAGATAGGAGCAACATAAGGGACAAGAGTGGAAAAAAGACTAGATTTAAGCAGGAAAAGGTGGTTAGGAGAGGCTTCATCACTTTTTCAGTAGGATAGTTATCGGGATGTAATGGGGGGGAATGAATAAATACTACCTTGTCCTTCCTCTTGTAAATTAGGAGTGAACTGATAAGTAGATTCTATAATAAGTACTTAGAAATGTTAAAAATCAGCCTTATTGTTGAGGCTGACTGGAGAATATGCCATAAATCTGTGGCCAAATGAGCTTGCTAATATCTCCCACTCCCCCCAAAAACTTAGCAGATGCTGGACATCTGAGAACCCCACTGCCCCCATCCCCATCCCCATCCCCACCCCCACCCACCTGCAAGTTACTTGTTCTAGGACCTAGAGAAGTGCTGGCATTCCACAGGCGTAATCCTGCTGGTGCTTTGGCTCCCCTTGAGATCCCAGGAGAGGCTGGGCCATGGGTGATTAGTTTCTTTTCCTGCTTGTCAGAGGGTTGGAGAATGAGGCCTGGAACATTGTAGATGAGTCTTTCCTTAGGAAAATTTGAGGCTGCGAAATAGTGGTCCTCCACTACTAGTATGCTGGTATGGTGCTTTTCCCTACCCTTGCCAGAAGGTTGATCCACAGGCTTAAGTTGCTATAGCAAAGACAGTTATAGATCTCTGTCCTTAAAAACTGGTAAAATTGGGGGAAGACAGTCTTATTTCAGACAGTTGGGGTAATCTGGAGGCAAAGGCAGAGATGGGTAATTGCCTAGCAGCCTCTGTGTGGACGCTTATTAAAAAGTATTTGCCTGTCCCACTACAATACCTTTGCTTCAATTTGGATTTGAAATCTTGGCAGCAAAAATGTGACTAAGACTTTTCTGTTTTTGTTAAATATCTCTGTAATCATATTCTGAAAACTGTAAATATTTTCAAGGTTATCTAATTCAGTAGAAACATTATTCTTTTCATATAGTAAGGGTTCAGTCATACAGAGTAACAAAATGCTGGTTCCGGCCAGTGCCTTGGCTCATGCCTATAATCTTAGCACTCTGGGAGGCTGAGGCGGGTGGATTGTTTGAGCTCAGGAGTTCAAGACCAGCCTGGGTAAGAATGAGACCCTGTCTCTACTAAAAAAATAGAAAGAAATTAGGACAACTAAAAAAAAGAAAAATATATATATATACATATATATAAAACTAGCCAGACATGGTGGCACATGCCTGTAGTCCCAGCTACTCAGGAGGCTGAGGCAGTAGGATCACTTGAGCTCAGGAGTTTGAGGTTTCTGTGAGCTAGGCTGAAACCACAGCACTCTAGCCTGGGCAACAGAGTGAGACCCTGTCTCAAAAAAAAAAAAAAAAGACAAAATGCTGGTTCTCAACTTGTTAGTATGTTCTTGCTAATTCTCCCTCCCTTTTCTCCTTTCCAGAATCCTATTCCAAGAACTTGGGCACTCAGGTATCCACCATGGGGTTGGGTCCTGAACAGAAGATGTCAAATGGTAATTTACATCTTTGTGTTGTCTAATTTTTATTTGGAATTAAGGCTTATGTCAGAATCAGAAATGGACCATATTTTCCCTCTCGTCGTTTATTCCAATAACTCCATTTAGCGGTCATCGTCTGGTGACTTAGATTGTAAACAAGACCTGCCTTCATCCTTTATTTCCAATTCTGAGTTCAGCTAAGATTAGCTACAAGGTTGGCTTCTATGAAGTAATCTTGCAAAGGCGTAGTGCTTTCAGACCTGGCGTGATAACCTCTGGAGTGCTTTGGCTGCTGGTGGCACTTTCTGATGTTTCAAGTGTGTATGGAACAGTAAAATACCGAGCAAGTGCGTTACACCTGCCTTTGACAGGAGCTTCTTGAGAGTTTTTTTTTTTTTGTTTTGAAGCAGGAGTCTCGCTTTGTGCCAGCTATAAGTGGATGTGCCGTGTGGGTGCGCCTAGCTCACGCACCTCAACTCCTGGGCGAGTGATCCTTCTGCTCAGCCTTCCGGGTAGCTTGACTAGGCAGTTGTGCCACCATGCGGCTAATGTTTATATATATATACAGTTGGCCATTAATTTCGTTTTCATATTTATAGTAGGAGAGGCGGTCTCGCTTTGCTCAGGGCTGCTCGTTTGAGGGTTTTGGACTATTTCTTCCTAAATCTGGCTTCCCCTTAGCGAATTTCTATTCCTTTTCTGTAATTTCCTATCAAGTTCAGGAACTTAAGACGGTGTGTGGTCTATTCCTTAGGAAAGAAAGCCCTTGCTTTCTAAATGGAGTTTATAAGGGATTTATAGACAATACAGAGATTGAAACATTGTGTTCAAAATAAGGCCATTTGATGGCTGCAGCAAACTGGCTTTATTATATATTTCTGGTGGATTGTCCCTCTTCTCCCAGACCTTCCCCTTCCCTGCATTTAAGATTAGCTGCAAATGCAGAACTTGGGGCAACACTGAGATGAGCCTCGGTATCACAAGGGTACTGGCACCCCGTGACCAGTAACACTTAACTGCAAACCTTAGTCAGAGTTCCTGCTTGGTTGTTTCCTTGCAGCTTCAGATTTTAGCCTGAACTGTGGCAGGATTTTGCAACTTCCATATTTTTTGAGAAAGCTGACGAAGGTATAATGTCCAGGGATGATTCTTTGAGTATGTCCCACCAAATAATGGAGGGTAGGGTGTACATTCCACTGGACAGACATAGTTCTTTTCTTTTAAAAGTTAGGATTTTAGGTTACCAGTGGGGTTTGTCTGGGAATGTTATATTTTGAGCTCTAGGTATCAGTGTTTTTTAGAGTGAAATGAAATGGTTCTAAAAATTACCAAGAAAGAATACAAGAAAGAAACTAGGAAAACCAATGTGAAATTCGTGTTAAAACTGATCTAGAGGCCAGGTGTGGTGAATCACGCCTGTAATCCTAGCACTCTGGGTGGCCGAGGTGGGCGGATGGTTTGAGCTCAGGAGTTCGAGACCAGCCTAAGCAAGAGAGAGACCCTATCGCTACTAAAAATATAGAAAAAAATTAGCTGGACAACTAAAAGTATATATATATAAAATTAGCCAGGCGTGGTGGTGCATGCCTGTAGTCCCAGCTACTCGGGAGGCTGAGGCAGGAGGATTGCTTGAGCCCAGGAGTTTGAGGTTGCTGTGAGCTAGGCTGACACTACAGAACTCTAGCCCGAGCAACAGAGTGAGACTCTGTCTCAAAAAAACCAAAAAACAAAAACAAAATCTGATTCAGAGCTGAGTGACTGGAGGGGGAGGGGTGAGAGGGAACTTTTTTAGTGGAGGCTTTTTGTAATTCTTGACATGTGAATATATTATCTATCCAAAAAATACATTTAAAAATATAGGTAATACTGGGTACAGTGGCTCATGCCTGTAAATCCTAAGAGGCCAGGTGGGAGGATAGCTTGAGGCCAAGAGTTTGAGACCAGCCTGAGCAACATAGCGAGATGGTTTCTCTGCACAAAAAATGTTTTAATTAGCCAGCCATAGCAGTGAACACCTTTAGTCCTGGCTACTTGGAAGACTGAGGCAGGGGGATCACTTGACTCCAGGAGTTTTAGGTTACAGTGAGCTAAGATGATGCCACTGCACTCTAGCCTGGGTAACAGAGCGAGACCCTTTCTCAATAAAGAAAAAGAAAAAAAGATAAAAATAAACTATTAAAAATAAATTAAGTTAGAGTTAGATTGATCTCTTGTGCATTTATTTAGGTATTAAAAAAGATTTAATTTTAGTATACTAAGGATGAGTTGTTAGTATATTTTGTTCATTCTTATTAATTTTTTCTCAAATCTTTTAATTCAGGCAATGTTTCTGGAGACCATAGGGACACTGCCGGCCTTGATGCCTTCAGCTGTGCCTATGGTAACTCCTCTCTTCCACAGTCCACCAAACACTCAGAGGAGCCCTTTGCCACCTACTTTAATGAGAAGATCACCATTCCTGAGGAGGAGGTTAGTAAAGGGTCCTTAGCGGGAAACGCTATTGTTTGGGAAAGCCTATGAGTGAAAGATCTGCTGGATGCCTGAAACTCCATAGCCTCATGTCCAATTTTGGCAGACATTCTCTTGTAATCAAAATAAATAGAAACTGTTAAGGAAATTGAAAATAGTTGCTAGGTGGCACTAGTGAGCATTTTTTGATCAGGAAAATATGAATTTTGTATTTCTTTTTTATTATGGTCTTCTTTGGGAAGTGGTTGGGCACAGAGCTACTGATATTGTTACTGTGGTTTTAGAATGAGAGGCTGATGGAAAGAGCAGGTAAGGGACTGGCTCTGACTTGGACAGAGAAGTGGCCAGCTTATCAATAAAAAGTACATAAGATGGAAGTGAAACGTGGGCACACACAACATCCAATATGCTAAATCCTTTGTTCTTGTAAAGATATTGTTGCTTCATATGTGATAACAGCTAAATTAGATCATCAGTTTGGAAGTGGTATTTAATTTAATCTCTTTTCCTTTTTTGTTCAGTACTCTTGTTTTAGCTTTCGTAAACTCTGGGCTTTCATGGGACCAGGCTTTCTTATGAGCATTGGTTTCCTGGATCCAGGAAACATTGAAGCTGATTTGCAGTCTGGAGCAGTGGCTGGATTTAAGGTGAACATCTAGTCCTACTCCCGTCCTTATAGACACACAATATCCCCTCACACCCGTGTTGGATAGTAGCCTCAGGGGTGAAATTTAGGTGAAAATTACTTCCTGTCTGGTCTTTTAATTTATCCACATAGTTCCTTAATAAAGTAGAAACTGCAAATGGGAGAAACTGAGGCTCAGAAAGATACAAGGTGACCTAGGAGGTCATGTGCAAAACCTGATACAGAACTCAGACCATTTGATTCCTCACCTGTGTTTTCCCTTGATTTTAGTGTTAAACCCAGGTGTCTAATGAGTGTTATGGGGGGATTTTGTTCTTCTTAGTTGCTCTGGGTACTGCTGTTGGCTACCATCTTGGGGCTGCTGCTCCAGCGGCTCGCAGTTAGACTGGGAGTGGTCACTGGGCTGCAATCTTGCTGAAGTGTGTCACCGTCAGTATCCCAAGGTGAGCAATGTACTGTCCTGTCTGTCTCTCACCCATATCATAGGGATGTATGTGTCTGGCATATGTGCTGGCCCCACTATATACTGAGACAGTGGAGGACTGGGGGCCAGTGGCCCTGAAGAATGGGAGAACCAAGGGAAATTCTATAATCCTTTCTGCTGCTGAGCCATGCTTTTTCCCTTCTTGAAAATCAAACTTGAGATTCACTTTTTCCCCAGAATGTTTCCTTAGAAAAATGCTGTTTGAGTAAACATTTACCATTGCCTCTACCTCCTGTCATCTAGCAGTGCCCAGCCCATGGGGGAAGCAGGTACTCTGTCCAAGCACTTTATTCATACCTCTATGTTGCTTCATCAGTTTACATTAGATATGTATCTTTTCTTTTTTGTTTGACTTTGCCATCACTTTGAAAATGGTAAACTTTTTTCCTTTTCTTACAAAGTGTATGTGGAAGGATCTTTGGATTTGCTAATAATTAGTTTTCAGTTTATCCTCACCCTGGGGATTACACTATCCTCTGCAACTTCCCTCAGGACATTATGGGACTTTCTTGCTATTGCCTAAGACAGGAATGAACTCTGCATCTGGAAGACATTTTTAACTGAGCTTTCTCTTTTTTTTTTTTTTTTTTTTTTGAGACAGAGTCTCGCTTTGTTGCCTAGGCTAGAATGAGTGCCGTGGCATCAGCCTAGCTCACAGCAACCTCAAACTCCTGGGCTCAAGCAATCCTCCTGCCTCAGCCTCCCAAGTGGCTGGGACTACAGGCATGTGCCACCATGCCCGGCTAATTTTTTCTATATATATTATTTGGCCAATTAATTTCTTTCTATTTATAGTAGAGACGGGGTCTCGCTCTTGCTCAGGCTGGTTTTGAACTCCTGACCTCGAGCAATCCGCCTGCCTTGGCCTCCCAGAGAGCTAGGATTACAGGCGTGAGCCACTGCGCCCGGCCTTGAGCTTTCTCTTTATGTAAGAGACTGCTCTGCCTCTTGTTTGTCCTCAGTATTTAATCTCCTTTTCTGGCTGTGAGTGGCTATCTGCTTTGAAAAAAAAAACCGGCCAGGTGCGGAGGCTCACCCCTGTTGTCCTGGCACTCTGGGAGGCCAAGGCGGGAGGATCATTCAAGATCAGGAGTTTACAACCAGCCTGAGCAAGAGCGAGACCCCGGTCTCTACTATAAATAGAAAGAAATTAATTGGCCAACTAATACATACAGAAAAAATTAGCTGGGCATTGTGGCACGTGCCTGCAGTCCCAGCTACTCGGTAGGCTGAGGCAGCAGAATTGCTTGAGCCCAGGAGATTGAGGTTGCTGTGAGCTAGGATGATGCCACAGCACTCACTCTAGCCTGGGCAACAAAGCAAGACTCTGTCTCAAAAAAAAAAAAAAAACCTTGATAATTTATAATTTTCTTTAGCTTATCTTTTTTCATGCATGTTAATAGTTGTTTTGTTGTGACAAGATATTTTTTGGACAGTAGGTATCCGCGAGTGTCTTTTCTGGCTTCAATGAGCCAGCACAACTAAATCTGTCTTTCAGCTGGATGGTGTGGCCTGATTAGTGTCCTACTTTGTTATATGCCACCCATTTCCAACCATTTCACCCTGAGTTCTTTTGCATTTCTGTTCTTTCTCACTTGCTTGTGTACTATTATTACATTAAAAATCAGCCCAACCTTTTCATGTGATTTGTCTTCTCGCCTATGGTCAGCATAGATGTTTTCTCCTGCAGTCAGTTCCTAGTCTGTCTTGATCCCTATTTTAGCATCATTATTCTCCCCAAAACCTTGAGGATTGTTTTTAGGCAGGAAACTAAGTAGAAATTAATGAATGGAAGTCTCATTCATTTCTTGATGGAAAGGAAAGAGAAAAAGGTAAGATCAGGTGGCAACCTGACCTTTGTTGATAGACTCTGCCACATGGAAGCCACTTTTCTTCTCCATATGGGAGCCATAGTGCAGTTATGTGCTCAGTAGAGCCAAGGTCTGGTAACTCATTTCTAGTCTGCATACTTACAAATGACTGTTTATGGGTCAGTGGTAAAATATGAATTCCAGGATGCAGGGGAGTTTAGTAGCAATGATTACAGAACCTTGTCTTGCTAAGCACAGTGACTACACCTGTAAACCACGAGCTTTGGGAGGCCAAGGGGGATGTTTGCTTGGGGCCAGCAGTTTGAGACCATCCTGGGCAACATAGGAAGAAGCCCATCTCTACAAAAAAATTTTGAAAATTAGGAGGTTGTGGTGGTGCTTGCCTAGCTATTTGGGAGGCTGCACTAGGAGGATGGCTTTAGCCCAGGAATTTACGGCTGCAGTGAGCTATGACTGTGCCATTGTACTCCACCCTCTGCAATAGACTGAGACCCTGTGTCTAAAAAAACCATGTCTTTCTACTGTTTGGTATTTAGGTCCCACGAATTATCCTATGGCTGATGGTAGAGTTGGCTATTATTGGCTCAGATATGCAAGAAGTCATTGGCTCAGCCATTGCCATCAATCTTCTGTCTTTAGGAAGGTAAGGGGGTTTCCCTCTAGAAAGTAATCAGTGTTTTGGTGGGTTTCAAAGCAAAGGTGAAAACAAAAACCCAATTCCTTTTTAATTTTCAAGATTCAACTCGATTCTTATTTCTTCTGTGGAACCTTTCTGGAGCTCCCTTCCTCTCCCTCAGAAGATGTAGGCTCTAAGTCTTTCATTCCCATGGTGCGTTATACATACCTCTCTTACACAGCGTGTGGTATTTTATATTATCATTGTTTATTTGTTTGTTATTGTCTCCTGTTAGTGAGCTCCTTGATAGTAACACCTATACTTTTCAGCTTTGTAACCTAAATATCTAACATAGTTGATTCTCAATCAAAGTTTGAATGAATGTAATCAAGTTGGTGCTAACTTATCCTAAACTATCCAAGAAGTCTGGCTTCCTGCTACTGTCCCTCCTCCCCTAAGGCCTGACTTTTCTAAGTTTTCTCTTTTTTTTTTTTATATGTATTTTTAGTTGGCCAATTAATTTCTTTCTATTTATAGTAGAGACGGGGGTCTCGCTCTTGCTCAGGCTGGTTTTGAACTCCGGACCTAGAGCAATCCGCCCGCCTTGGCCTCCCAGAGTGCTAGGATTACAGGCGTGAGCCACCGCGCCTGGCCATGACTTTTCTAAGTTTTCTATATCTAGAGAGCTGGTGGGAAGAAAGTGGTTTTCAGTGTTTCCTTTCTTTTCATTGCTGTCCATTTCTTATCTCTGACCTAGGGTTCCTCTGTGGGGTGGAGTCCTTATCACCATTGCAGATACCTTTGTGTTTCTCTTTTTGGACAAATATGGTAAGGAGAATGGGAATGGAGGGGTCAATCAAAGGAGCTGCTTTATCTCATGTGGCTAATGGGAAAGGAAGTCTGATTGCTGTGTGCTCACTGCTACATTTTCTCCTTTAGGCTTGCGGAAGTTAGAAGCATTTTTTGGATTTCTCATCACTGTTATGGCCCTTACATTTGGATATGAGGCAAGCATTACAAGCTATATTTGTTAGCTTTTTAACATGTGGGTTTTTAATTTTTTTAGCGTTTTATTATAAAAGACAGTACTAGTGCTAGGATGGTCTAATTGTTTGACATATATCAACAAAAGGTCAGTTCCATCCTGGGACAATTTTAAAGAAATATGATTTTTAGCAAAGATCAGTGTGCAGAAAGGCCTATAGAGATTACTACGTTAGAAAAAACTAGACAGCCGGGTGTGGTGGCTCACGCCTGTAATCCTAGCACTCTGGGAGGCTGAGGTGGGCGGATTGCTCAAGGTCAGGAGTTCAAAACCAGCCTGAGCGAGAGTGAGACCCGTCTCTACTATAAATAGAAAGAAATTAGTTAGCCAACTAATATATATAGAAAAAATTAGCCGGGCATGGTGGCACATGCCTGTAGTCCCAGCTACTCAGGAGGCTGAGGCAGAAGGATTGCTTGAGCCCAGGAGTTTGAGGTTGCTGTGAGCTAGGCTGATGCCACGGCATTCACTCTAGCCTAGGCAACAAAAGTGAGACTCTGTCTCAAAAAAAACAAAAAACAAAAAAAACTAGACTTACTAGGGCTTTCCAGATTAAACCCCTAGTCCCATGTTGGCCATCCTAACAATAGAACAACTTGCAGAGGGTTAGGAAGGGAATTGCAGGGTTCTTCTTCGATTTCAGATAGGGTTCTGTTTTTACTTATCCTGGTTTATATTAATTGCAGCTTGAACTTTCCCTGTATTAAGAGTTGATGAACTATAGGGGATATAGTTGATATTTTGTGGTTTGTACCCCAACCCAGGAACCCCTAAGAACCAGTACCATTATTTGCAGTATTAGCATCTTTCTATGTCCAGTTTGTTATAACTGATTTCTGCTTATTGGCCTGGCCTTTTAATAAAAATTTAATCTCTGAGTAGATGATGCATCTTGGCCAAAGGCTTCCGAGAGAAATACTAAACCAGGGAAAAGCATGTATGAGAAGTATTTATGAATGAGACTCACTACACACTAGTGGAAAATCAAGTGATTTTTAAATGAACATAGGTGAACAGAAGCAAGATAAGTAGAGATAAGCAATAATTGATTCTGTGTCTTGGGTCTGTCTCATAGGAATTGCTGGGAAGCTAATAAAAGTAAGATTCTTAGCCATTTCATTTCTTTTGAATATCAATTATATTCTATACACATCTGTTTTATGTATCTAAAATAAGACATAAAATATCTCAATATTCCAGTCCTGGATTCTTTGACCCCCAGTAGGAAGTCCCTTATATTGCTTGGTTCTTTGATGATTCTGTATTCCTCATTATCATAGGTAATTGCAGAAGAGGTTGCTGAGTGTTCCCTAGTACTATTTTACTCCCCCAGTCTCATGTTCCAAGAGGGGTTAATGGTATTCTGTTGGCATGTAGTATGTTACAGTGAAACCCAGCCAGACCAGGTACTCAAGGGCATGTTCGTGCATCCTGTTCAGGCTGTCGCACACCACAGACGCCAGCGCTGTGCATCGGGGAGCCTGTCACTCAATGCCACACAACGTGTTCGGCATTCGCTTAGTCAAGGTGAGCAAGGCCCTTATCTCATTGTCCCCAATAGTTAATGTGGATATTCTTTAACTTCAAGGGCCCAACATTAGTTGGTATAACTAGAGCTTCAAGAAGAAGTTATTGTCCAAGCCTGACATTTGTAACGCTCTACATGCTTGGATCTGACTCTTGTTTATGACCAAGGCGGTCGACCAGAGATTACTGGCCCACCAGAGAAGGGGGACTAAAATCTCATAAAAGGTTTTGTTTTTGAAGACAGAATCTTGCTTTTTCGGCCCAGCTAGGAGTGAGGCCGTTTGCGCAGCCTAGCCTCACACGTAACGCGTCAACCTCTTAGGCCTCAAGCGATCCTACTGCCTCAGCCTCCCAGGTACTGGACTACAGCATGGAGCCACCCATGCCCAGCTAATTTTTTCTATATATATTAGTTGGCCAATTAATTTCTTTCTATTTATAGTAGAGACGGGGTCTCTCTCTTGCTCAGGCTGGTTTCAAACTCCTGACCTGGAGCAATCCGCCTCCCTTGGCCTCCCAGAGTGCTAGGATTACAGGCGTGAGCCACTGCACCTAGCCCATAAAAGGTCTTAAAGTGTACCAAGGTTCTTGTGTTTAAATTTCAAAAGCTCGAGTGGCCTTGTGGAGGTCAGAAGTACAGGAGTCCAACTAGGATTTTACTAGTCAGTCTTACACAATAATTTGCTGCGAGATTTCAGAAACCTTTATAATTAGGATTATATACCCCATAGAACTGAAATCAGGTTTTTGTAAGTCAGTGGTCCTTCCAGCCACAATAACTGAGAGCTCCATAGTCACTTAGTCATTGTTCCCTATTTGAGGGTGTGCAATGCCATCAAAGAGCATGCAGTTCTTATTCAGTGGACTAGGATGTAGGTGAGTGTTGGATCTTTCACATTTCATCTGCTCAATTGCCCTCTGAATCTCTCAGCTGACTGCAGACTACTGAAATGCTACAAAAAAATTTGCTCCAAGAGGTCAAAAAATAACTACTGGTGTTATCTCTCTAGTCTAGACAGGTAAACCGGAATAATAAACAAGAAGTTCGAGAAGCCAATAAGTACTTTTTCATTGAATCCTGCATTGCTGTCTTTGTTTCCTTCGTCATCAACGTCTTTGTTATGTCAGTCTTTGCTGAAGCATTTTTTGAGAAAACCAATGAGCAGGTGGTGAGTAAACAGGCCCATGGGTGGTAGTGAATGTGAGGGTAAAGTGAAGACTGGAAGGGGGTAGGAAAATACAATGACTTGGAACCCAGGGGAACTAGATCTCTAGCCTCACTGCTGTCCTCTAAAGTCACTGTGTACTAGTCAGACTCTACAGTCCTGGGGCTGGCCAAGTCTAGACCCATTTTTCTCAGTTTTTGATTGGGAGGAGTCAACAAATAGAAAACAGAAACTGTGACTCAGACAGAATTTGTTTTGTTTTGTTTTTTATAGAGACAGAGTCTTGCTCTGTCATCCAGGATGGAGTGCAGTGGCATCATCATAGCTCACTGTAACCACAAACTTCTGGACTCAAGTGATCCTCCTTCCTCAGCCTCCCAAGTAGCTGGGACAATAGACATGTGCTACCATGCCCAGCTAATTTTTTAAAGTTATTTTTTATAGAGAAGGGGTCTTGCTCTGTTGCCCAGGCTGGTCTGAAACTCCTGGCTTCAAGCAGTCCTCGTGCCTTACCCTCTGAAAGTGCTGGGATTATAGGCATGAACCATCACACCTGTGCTGTTTTGTCATTTTGATTTCTGTATCCACTTTTTTTTGTTTTAAGAGTAGGGAAATGAGGTTCAATTTCCTTTTTTTTTTTTTTTTTTTTGAGACAGAGTCTCACTCTGTCGCCCTGGGTAGAGTGCAGTAGCATCATTGTAGGTCATTGCAACCTCAAACTCCTGGGCTCAAGGGATCCTCCTGCCTCAACCTCTCAAGTAGCTGGGACTACAGGTACATTCCAAATCACTCAGATAATTTTTCTATTTTCAGTAGAGGCAAGGTCTCACTCCTGACAAGTGCTGTTTTCAAACACCTAAGCTCAAGCAGACCCTCCTTCTTCAGTCTCCCAGCATGCTAGGATTGCAGGCATGAGCGACTGCACCCATCCTCTGTATCATCTTGATTTCTAATTGCCTATGTGGTTTTGATCACCATTGGTCTCCCATCCAAAGGGCCTCTGACTCCTGTCTGCTTTGACTAAGGGCTCTCTAGCTGGATGTTCTCTAATGTTTGAAGACTTCTTAAGAGCCTTTCCTCCTGTCCTCATTTACAATGCCCCAGCATTTATGCATTACCATGCACAGTCTTAACTCAGTAAAGATTTTTGATGACCTAGGGATCTAGAAAGATTATGGAGGAAGACTCCAAGTTATATTGCTGCCAGTTTCTGTCCACATCACAAGCTATATTCAGTGTTTTCCCTGCAGGCTACCTCTCAAAGGTGACTGGGTATGATCTGTAGGAGAGCTCTTACCTGGTTCTTGCTTCTAAAACTAAAGTTGCTCTTGAACTGCTTTGGGTTCTAGGTTGAAGTGTGTCAAAATAGCAGCAGTCCCCATGCTGGCGTCTTTCCTAACAATAACTCAACACTGATTGTGAACATTTACAAAGGGGTAAGCACGTTCAGATTTGTGATCTTTGCTTCTGAATTCATATTCTTCTCAAATTATCTGGTCTTTTCTGTGAGTTCGCTTCAGATCTGAGCATATGTCCCCTGGGATGTCATTCATTTCAGAAGTCAAGATGCCAGACAAGCATTTTGGATTACATGGGAGGGAATACAGAACCAGTTGAAAAGATGGATTGTATACCAGCATTTCTCAAACTCATGTTGATACCATAGTGTTTCACAGGATATTAATTAGGGTGAATGTAGAAGTGTTCTTAGTAAAGTGTTTGTTCCTGGGCTCTCTCAGTCCTTTTATGCTGCTTATATTGTGATCCTCCAAGAGTAGAATATGTAGTATGCAGCATTTTCCAGATTTCTTTGAACTTTCCCTGCCCTCCTATTACCATTTTCCAGCATAATGTGTTAAGAAATATAATTTGGGAAATGTGGTGTGGTGTAGACCACTTTTTTTAAATAGTTAAAACAGAGGAAATGAAAGCTTTAGAAGCTTGGCAAAGAGAAACAGACTAGGCTGAGGAATAAGGAGCATCTAGTAAAGTTTAGATTGAAAGCCTTTAGAATGAGATCAGGACTTGAGCTGAGTTTCTGGGACAGGGCCAGGCACAGCACTTGGTGTAGGTGGGGCATAGCAACGAAGAGGGAGAAATGCCACAGAGAAATGCTGTTTTGAGACTTGTCTAAACAAATTATTGACATAAATGTATCTTTCTTCTTTGTCTCTCCCAGGGTATTGTTCTGGGATGTTACTTTGGGCCTGCTGCTCTCTACATCTGGGCAGTGGGGATCCTGGCTGCAGGACAGAGCTCCACCATGACAGGAACCTATTCTGGCCAGTTTGTCATGGAGGTATGTGTGGTATGGAATAGACGGAGATGACAAAGCCCTTTTGTCACTTCTTTTTTTTTTTTTGAGACAGAGTCTTTGTCTTTGTTGCCTCGGCTAGAGTGCCATGGCATCAGCCTAGCTCACAGCAACCTCAAACTCCTGGGTTCGAGCAATCCTACTGCCTCAGCCTCCCGAGTAGCTGGGACTACAGGCACATGTCTGCATGCCTGGCTAATTTTTTCTATATATATTAGTTGGTCAATTAATTTCTTTTTATTTATAGTAGAGACAGGGGTCTCGTTCTTGCTCAGGCTGGTTTGGAACTCCTGACCTTGAGCACGCCTGCCTTGGCCTCCCAGTGTGCTAGGATTACAGGTGTGAGCCACCGCGCCTGGCCCCATTTGTCACTTTTTAATACCACGTTTCTGAAGTCTATTCTGAACCTCCCTGAACTTTTCTCTCTTCTTTGTTCCAGATGTTAATCCTGCTCTGTATTTTCTTCCAGGGATTCCTGAAACTGAAATGGTCACGCTTTGCCCGAGTGATTCTGACCCGCTCTATTGCCATCATTCCCACACTGTTTGTTGCTGTCTTCCAAGATGTGGAGCATCTAACAGGGATGAATGATTTCCTGAATGTTCTGCAGAGCTTACAGGTGAGGAGGGAGCTGGGGCAACTTACATCCCTTTTAGTCAGGTGGCATTATATACTGCCCTTGGGTACTAAGCCTAGAGCTGGAAGCTGGGGGGAAATTGAGAGGAAGAAAGAGGCACAGTCTGCAGTAAATGAATATGAAATTCCTGGCATCCGAAAGGCTTTTAGAAATGGATTGGTTTTTTAAAGCCTATTTAATGGGAATTATGAGCTTTACTGATATGTAGAATATAAAATTATAGTTCATTAATCCAAACCACAGTTAAATGAACATATAGGACACTGTGTCTGGTAGAGGTTAAGAAGACAAGTCACATACAAATATTTTTATTTTATTTTTTTTTTTGAGACAGAGTCTCTCTCTCTTGCCTGAGCTAGAGTGCCATGGCCTGAGCCTAGCTCACAGCAACCTCAAACTCCTGGGCTCAAGCGATCCTCTCTCCTCAGCCTCCCGGGTAGCTGGGACTATAGGCATGTGCCACCATGCCCAACTAATTTTTTCTATTTTTAGTAGAGACAGGGTCTCATTGTTTCTCAGGTTGGTTTCGAACTCCTGAGCTCAAGCAATCCTCCTTCCTTGGCCTCCCATAGTGCTAGGATTACAGGCGTGAGCCGCCGTGGCCAGCCAAATATTTGTAAAGACACAAAGACACTTGGGATCTTAACTGATGCTAGGTTTCAGACAGCTGTGCAGATACAACAAAATACTTGAACATGTCAGAATGATAATCATTTCTCATGGAGAAGATGAGTCAGGGTTCATGTTTCCCTTTCACTAGCCATGCAGTTCTCTAGGGTGATGTGAAGACCCCTAGTAGCCCCATCTGATGTTACTTCTTTCTTTTCCAGCTTCCATTTGCTCTCATACCCATCCTCACCTTTACAAGCTTACGGCCAGTAATGAGTGACTTTGCCAATGGAATGTGAGTATTTTCCTCTTAGTTCCCCAAAGGGGACAGTGATATGTGGGAAAAGATGTGTTAATCCAAGAAGCTAGTGAGAAATGATTCATACAGGGGAGATATATGCTTTGAGAGACTATTACTAGGTGCTTACTCTTTGGGTTAAAAACGGAGACTGTGACTGGAGCAAAGGAGAAAGCACATTTTTCATCTTGGGGGATGAACGCTTTCAGTTTTCAGGGCTTGAACTCTTCAGCTGCAGCCACTGAAGTTTGAAGTACCTTAATTCTTTGTTAAATCTTTTTAATGAGAAAGGCATAAGCTAGTACCTTTTATATATATTCCTTTGAAGGATATGGGCATTGTTGCATTTCTAGGGATGTAAATATTAGGGATTATTTGAAGATATTTTTTTCCCCTCTTTCTCCCTGTCATGGTCTATCTTTGTCCCGTTTGACCTAATCTGGAGCAGAATAAGAACCAGTTTTCACTTCATTTTGAAATGCCTCTACCTCCTTTCCTGTTTACCCCACAAGATGCAGTTTCCTTTTCTGTTTTTGACTGGGTTGGCCTAATCCATCAGTGACTGTGCTCATTCCTTTACAGAGGCTGGAGGATTGCAGGTGGGATCGTGGTCCTTATCGTCTGTTCCATCAACATGTATTTTGTAGTGATTTATGTCCAGGAACTAGGGCATGTGGCATTATACGTGGTGGCTGCTGTGATCAGTGTGGCTTATCTGAGCTTTGTGTTCTACTTGGTAAGTCCAGGCTGGAGGTGGTAGGGGCACAGGTATCAGGGATGGTAGAAGTGAGACTGACTGACATTTAGAAGTAAACAGATCCTAGAGAGCACATAGCAATCTACCTGCAGTTGCTGAGACAATTTATGTGGAATTGTCAAATGAGCTATATTTATAAAACAATATTTCAAACTGTAAAATTTACTTTGGTTCCTAAGATCTGTCATTTTTTGATTTCTGTTACTTCTATATGGTTTCCATTTTCAATTCCTAATAAGTAAGTGCAGTATGTTTGAGGAAGTACAAGGAGGGTAGCAGTACAGAGAGTGGAGAGAGGTACAAGATGGAGTTGGAGAATGGGCTGTGCAGTGTGATTTAGAGCTTTGAGTGGGACACATGCGGGTGCACAGCCCAGCTCCACTCTACCACTTACTAGCTGGCCAAGGAAATAAGCAACGAGAGATATTCTCTTACTGAATATTCTAGAGTCATTTTCAAAAATCATGGTTATAGAACCACAGCTACATGGAAAAGGTATGTAAAATTTATACAGAGATACTAAAAAAATGTTAAATCTAAATTGTGTCAATATAGTAATAGTAATTGTCTTAGGAAAGTGAGAGTATGGATATATTCTTTCTGTGTTCCAAATCTTCTTTAACTTTGCCTATTTTAATGAAAAACAGCCATAGCAAAAACAACAGCAAGTCCTCCTCTCTGTTCTGTACAGGTTTCTGTGAAAAGTAGAAGGGTTAGAGATAAGGAACAGCAGAATTTATGCCATTTTTACTACAGAGAATGGCTAAAGATAGAGGTTGGAAACCTGCTGTTGATATGTAGAAGGCTTACCTGGTCCCCATGCCAATATGCTGCATGCTAGGTACTCGATTGAGAAAAATCACTTGAGTAAATATTGAGAAATATCTTGAATTTATATATGCCTTTTCTCTCTTCCCTGTAAATCTTGCACACACAAAGATTGTACTGACTCTATGATCTAGGGACTGACTTCAAAGAAAAGCAATGAGTTGATTGTGTCCTTGACAGGAATTGTTTTCTAAAATTAACTCCCCTAGAAGGATTCCCCTAGAAGTTTGGGGAATGTTTTCATAATGCCAATTGGATATGAAAGTGCCAAGTTTTCCTCAGTCAGCCTGAGACTAGTGAGATTGTTAAAGACGAAATTTTAGAGATGAGGGCTGATTCTAGAGCAGGTTACTGCTGTTGAGCTCCAAAACAGGAACTTCACAGAGCAGCTCAGGAGACTGAGCCAGTTGTATTAATCTGTGATTCATTCTCCCCATTATGAGGAATGGGGAGGACTGGAGAAAAGTGGTCTTCAGGGAACTCCCAGTTGAATAAAAGAAACCACAAGCACAAAGCAGTAGGACAGAGAGAACTCAGTATTGAAAATAGTATGGAGAAACTATGTGGAGGAAGACAGATTTCAGGATTTTTTGAAGGAGGAGTGGGGTTGGGAGAATGACTTGTGCAACCTGTGCCGGTAGAAGAAGGGCAAAGCTGGATATTGAAGGAAGGGAACAGGTTTGCATTTGAGCAGGTGTATGAGCAGTCATGGTGGGTAAGAGGGCTCTTCGAAGAGCCTGGTGAATGATGACCCTATTTTATCTTTCAGGGTTGGCAATGCTTGATTGCACTGGGCATGTCCTTCCTGGACTGTGGGCACATGGTAAGCATCTCTAAAGGCCTGCTGACTGAAGAAGCCACCGGTGGCTATGCTAAGTAAACACTGGATTAGTCTGTCTGTCTTGCGCAGGTAGCCATCAGAGCCAGTGTGTTTCTATGGTTTACTGTGTGAACATAGCTAAAAGTATGTGCTGATGCACAGACTGCATTTAGGACTCAAGTGCTGGTTGGGGGAGACTTTCTTTCATATGTGTTTGAAAGATGGAATTATTTTTCTTTTCTTGACCTCCTTACCTGGGACCTGGATTAAGTAGGATCTTTAAAAAGCTGACATTTGCTACTATCATTCCAACACTAAATTCTTAAGTAGCTGCCCAAGGGTTATCTAGCTTATTTTATCCTTTTGAGATAATCATCTATGCATGATTCTTGACCAGGCCATATGTTTCAAAAATTTTGGGAAAGTGCAAAACAGTTGTCATAATACATACAACTGAATGAGTATCCAAGTCTTGTTTATCAAAATAGAGTGGATTTTTTTTTTTTTTTTTTTTTTTTTTGAGACTGAGTCTTACTCTATTGCCCATGTTAGAATGCGGTGGCATCAGCCTAGCTCACAGCAACCTTAAAGTCCTGGGCTCAAGCAATCCTCCTGACTCAGCCTCCTGAGTAGCTGGGACTACAGGCATGTGCCACCAGGCCCGGCTAATTTTTTCTGTATATTTTTAGTTGGCCAATTAATTTGTTTCTATTTTTAGTAGAGACCAGGTCTCACTTTTGCCCAGGCTGGTTTGGAACTCCTGACCTTGAGCAATCCACTCGCCTAGGCCTCCCAGAGTATCAGGATTACAGGCATGAGCCACCACGTCCGGCCTTAGAGTGGATTTTCAAAGGCAGATTAATTCTTATGCATACCCTTTCAGTTATTACACAAAAATCTCAACTAGGGTGGTCAAACAGATGAAATATAAAATTAAGAGACAAGCTTAGGATTCTTTTAATTTATTTCCACTATAAATTTCTCAGTGGAACTTAAAAGGGGTGAGAAAACAAAGAAGGTGAAAAGTGGACAACAGGCAAAACTCCCCTGTAGGTTGTAGTTACTAATCATCTTTTCAAAATCTTCCTCAGAGATGGAAAGCTTATCAGGGTTTTTTTGGGAGTCCTGATTTTAATAAACTTTGTGTTAGTATAGAGCTCTCCTGATGATATTTAGTCTTGAGCACATATAGTTGTAAAACCTTCACTTTCCTCCTCAAGGAGGGCGGTGATAGAAAAAGATGGTAGCATTTATGAACTGACATTCTCATGAGATTTTGGGGGTGGGGAGAAAACACTCAAAGGAGAAAGAAGAGCCATCTGTTTTATTCCTAAAAGCCAAGTCTCACCAGAATTCATCATGTTGTTCTGATGCACCGCTCTGCCTCCTGCCCAAGAGGACTTATTTGTGAGGCAATCTCAGGAGCTGTGGAGCTAATCATTGCAAAGCCAGCTCTCTCTCTCTCTCTCTCAGCAAGTCAGTAGGTGTCACTGTGGTTGCAGTGTTGTGTCTGTCAGCAAGATTGAACTGGGCTACCTCTCTACAGCTGTTTCCTCAGAGGGAAAAACTTTGAGACCAGATGGTGGAGCTCTGGAGTCAGAGGAGATGGGTGTCTTGAGCATGAAACTGCTGTCCTTTAGCCGCTTGTGACAGCTTTACATGTGAAGCCTGAGACTGTGTGGTTATCTCCAATCAATCATATTTGTCAGCTGGAGATAAATAATCAAAAGTCTTTTATAGCCATTGACGTGGTGAGAACAGTAATGAGAATAGCATTGAAGGACTTATCATTTTTGAAACTTTTCTTCTGGAGTCCTGGCTGATTGATGTTCTCTGTTCATCTTAGCCCCCAAGGCATTATTATTGATATTTTGCACATATTCACAACTGCAGACTGGATGGATTTTCTTTTTTAAGCATTAAGGATACACTAGTGTGTTTTACTGACTAGATATTTTTCTTAGCCTCTCAAATAATAAAGAATCATGAGTGACAATTCCCCTAACTGTCTCTCCTCATAACTGTCCCTCTCTCCCTAACACGATCATTCCCCAAACTGATTGTAAAGATACACTGTGAAGAAAATCAGGGACTGACATCTTAAGGCATCCCTGATTGTCATAGAGGAATGGACCTTTGACCGTTGGATTTTGGTGTTTGTATCTGGACCGGTGAGGGTATTTTAAGGTACCTCGCCGCACAGAGGAGTAACTCCTCTCTCCATCTGAGGAAACTCTCTGGAATTCCCTTTTGTGTTGGGAGCCTCCCTGGAGGCCTCAGCCATTTGGGAGATAGGACCTTCAGGCTCCTCTGTCCATTTAAGGTATTTCAGGAGAAATCCTATTTGGGTTGGAAGCCTTAACCATTCATTTGAGAGAACAGGACCTCCGACTGTTTGGATTTGGCACTCCCTAGGCTTATTTGTTGGAACTACAGTCCATTTGGTGTGTGACTGTGTTTGTTTGTGTGACTTTGGAAATAAGAATTCAAGCCCTAAATGTAAAAGTTGTACACTGGGAAATCTCTGTCTCTGCCTTTTGGGCTTTTATGCCATTTGGACCTAGAACAGATTGATGGCGGTAATGGTTGGTTAGAGATGAGATTCTTGAAAACTTCTCTCCAGTCTCCCTGTGTAGAAATTGATTCGAAGTATTCTATTTGTTTTCAGTTTTATTTTGTCTAATGTGGTATTCCTGGGCTTGTGGTTGAAACCTTTGAAATTTCTCTTTGTAATGAGTGTTTATCTATAGTAGTATGTTACATATAAAGATACTGTCTATGAGAAAGTTTAAAGAGATGTCAGGTTTTCTAGGACTCCCAGTAGTCTCCACATTCTGTGTACTATTCTCATGCATATGTTTAAACTGATGGGCAAGTTACATCAAGAAAATTTCAGAGCTCATATGGACAATGCCACTTTAGAGTTAAAATGCAAAGTTTGTTAAACTGTCTGTCTTTTGCCTGCTGAAGCTGCAGTTGCTAAGTTACAGGTGTTGATATGGAGCTGACCGAACTCAGTTATCACAAATTCAAGGCCAACCAGGAACAACCAGTTACTCATTTGAAACTGAAGGGAAAAAAAGGTTAAAGATACCTTTTTAAAAAGAAAACCCAAACTGTCCTGAAAGCTACTTTACCCAAAACTTTAGTCTATGGTTTTTGTTACATTACCTATTGAGGCAACTAAAGTTTGGTCATGTGAATAAGTCCCAACTTTGTCAAAAATAATTTGATCCAACCATGTTTTATAAATTGGTCTGAATATGGCTATGAGCCTATATATATATATATTTTTTTTTGAGACAGAGTCTTGCTTTGTTGCCCAGTCTAGAGTGAGTGCCGTGGCGTAAGCCTATCCCACAGCAACCTCAAACTCCTGGGCTCAAGCGATCCTGCTGCCTCAGCCTCCCAAATAGCTAGGACTACAGGCACGCGCCACCATGCCCAGCTAATTTTTTCTATATATATTAGTTGGCCAATTAATTTCTTTCTATTTATAGTATTTATAGTAGAGACAGGGTCTCGCTCTTGCTCAGGCTGGTTTCAAACTCCTGACCTCCAGTGATCCGCCCGCCTCGGCCTCCTGGAGTGCTAGGATTACAGGCGTGAGCCACCGCACCCAGCCATGAATATGGCTATGAGCCTATAAAGAAAAAATTATACATATATTATATATATGTATAATATTGTCTGGCCCCAGCACTCTCGGGTCTGGGGAGACGTGGCCCCTTAATGGCTCATTGAGCTACAATACTATTCTCCAATTAAATTTGCTTTATTACCATGTTGGGAAATTTGATAAAATCCTTTATGTACAGTCTTTTATGCTTCTGTATCAAAACAAGCCAGATCAAATTAAATATAAGATTCTAATACAGAAGACAAAAGCTTTCAAGAAGGTCAGGAAAGAAAATGCCAGATCTAAAATCCTCGTCTTATGAGCAGAAGAAAATGCCCAGGATGAAGAATACCTCTGGGCAGCGTTAGCAGCAGCTCCAGCTGTGCCTGTGCCGGCTCAGGCTCAAGCTGAGGCTGAGGCTAAAGCACTGGCGGCAGTGGTGTGGCTCCGGCTACAACTCCCATGCTTTCAGAGATCTTTCTCCTACCCCTGGAGACCCCCTTATGGTTCTAGGCTCCTTTCTTCACCCTTGCTGGCTCCTCCAGCCATCTATCCTTCCCTTTCTTCCTTCTCTGAGAATAGTCAGGGGAGGCATGGGGACCTGGTCTCTCTTTCACCTACCCAGTGGGGTACACAATTGTTCAGGGTCTTCCCTTCTTCCCAGCAGGGGAATTTCCTTTAAGACAGGTCCCTGTAGGAGGAATAAATGAAAATAAACAACCGGCTGGATTAATATGGGCTTATAGCCCATTTGCCACTTCTGATTTGTGTAGTTGGAAGTAGAATAACTCTGCACACAGAGACAATCCAAAGTGTATAACTAATCTGTTTGAATCTATTTTCACCACACATTACCCCACATGGACAGATGTCCAAAGCCTGCTTAACATATTGTTAACATCTGAGGAGTGTTGCATTATCCTGGAAAAGGCTCTAGAAAAAGCTGACCAAGTACATACAGAAGGTCCAAATAACCAGGTGACAGCTAATCTGGTCATCCCTACGCATGACCCCACTGGGACTCAAACAACGGAAATGAAGGTAAGATTCCACATTTTGGAGACTGCATCCTGGTTGGGCTCAGAAAAGGAGTCTCCAAAATTGAAAGCCTGAACAGGCTGGGTGTGGTGGCTCTTCCCTGTAATCCTAGCACTCTGGGATGCCGAGGCAGGAGGATTGCTTGGGATTGGAGTTTGAGATTGCTGTGAGCTAGGTTGATGGAACGGCACTCTAGCCCAGTAACAGAGCAAGACTCTGTCTCAAAAAAAGAAAGAAAGAGAGAGAGAGAGAGAGAGAGAGAGAGAGAGAGAGAGAGAGACAGAGGAAGAAAGAAGAAGGAAGAAGGAAGGAAGGAGAAGAGGAAGGAAGGAAGGAAGGAAGGAAGGAAGGAAGGAAGGAAAAGAAAGGAAAAGAAAGGAAAGCCTGAACAAAGTAGGGAATAAGATAGGAAACAGATGAAAATCCATCAGCCTTCCTAGAAAGGATTATGAAAGCATATCAAAAATTCACTAATATACATCCAGAAAGCCCTGATGATTACATGTTAATGAACATGATCTTTGTTGGCCAGAGCATGCCTGATATCCAGCAGAAGTTAGGGGTTCTTTCCTTGCCCATATCTCATTTCATTGAACTAGCCTATAAAGTCTTTGTAAACTGTGAACAGAAAAAAGAAAAAAGAAAGATACATGAAATGAAACAAAAGCAAAACTTTTGGCAACAATTCTGACAAACACCTAGGAATCCCTCAACCTGGAAACTATCCACAGAGGAAAGAAGATAAAAGGAAAACCCTTTAAAACAGAGTAGTGTGGCTGGATGCAGTGGCTCACATCTGTAATCCTAGCACTTTGGGAGGCCGAGGTGGGAAGATCATTTGAACTCAGGAGTTCAAGACCAACCTGAGCAAGAGCAAACCCATCTCACTAAAATAGAAAAAAAAATTAACTGACACTAAAAAATATATAGAAAAAAATTAGCTGGGCATGGTGGCTCATACCTGTAGTCCCAGCTACTTAGAGGCTGAGGCAGGAGGATCGCTTGAGCCCAGGAGTTTGAGGTTGCTGTGAGCTAGCTGATACACTACGCACTCTACTGCCAGGCAACAGAGCGAGACTTTTCTCGAGGAAAAAAAAAAAAAAAAAAAAAAAAAGAAGAGTGGTGCCTACTGCAAAAGATTGGGTCATTAAGAAGGATTGTCTAAGTTACTCAAAAAGACTAATGGGGAACCTACTGTATGATCAGTGGTGCTGAATGCAGACGATATGAAATGACGGGTCTTAGGGCCCTCAGAATCTCGGATTACACAGCCAGTTGATGAATATCTCCCACTGGAGCCCCCTAGGCTAACCATAAAGTGAGAGAAGAAACTTATTGAGTTCCTAATTGATACTGGTGCAACCTACTCGTTTTAAAATTAAAAAACTAAGCTTACTAGAGACTCAATGCTGTGGACTGGGTTATCTGGAAAACCCTCACAAACATTTTCCAAAACACTGATTATGCTATTGGAATTCTTTCCTCACACACAGCTTTTCTGTACTGATTGAGTACCCTCTCCATGCTGGGTAGAAATGTTCTCTCCAAATTGCTACTCAATAATCTTTGAGAATAAACAAGTGCATATTGTAGTTCCTGCAGAACTGCCTGTGCCTGTGCAACAGTTCTCCTCGCTCTCCTTGCTGTCCGTCAAGAGTTGCTCGCTCAAGTCCTGATCAGTAAACCCTAAAGTATGGGTTACTGACAACCTGGAAGTGCACGTGTTGGACCCTGTTCATGTCAAGATTAAACCAGGAATCTCTCCCTCCAACGCAAACAGTATCCATTAAAGCTTCAAGCTACCTAAAAAAAAACCTTAAGAAGAAAGGAAAGGGACTCCTTACTTGAACAGAAAGTAACAAAAGTTTTTTTTTTTAACTATTAAGAAAAACTGATAACTGTCTCTGTTCTGGGCCTCCTGAATTTCGCAAGCCTTTTGATTAGTTCATCCAAGAAAGACAAGGAACTTTTAGACTGGGGTATTAACCTAAACATTGGGAACTAATAAGTGTCCCATGGGTTGTTTTGTCTAAACATTACATATACTCCAAGAGGATAGCCCACTTGCCTGAGAACAGTTGCTGCTACTTATAATATTTTACAAGAAGCAGAGAAATTATGCTTGGACACGATAATGGTTCATACTGTGTGTTATGTGCCACGCTACTAGACAAAAAAGGAGCCGCTTGTTAACAGCTGGCCGATTAGGCAACCATCATGCTACTCTGTTAGGTAATCCTAATTTAACTTTAAAGACACTGTCCACCTGAACCCCACCACTTGCTGCCTATAGACTCTCACTCCCAGTTCATGATGCATTCAAATCATTGACCAACTATATCTTAGCCTCCCAGATTTACTGATCAGCCTTTGTTAGACCCAAATGAAGAATTCTATAGAGATAGAGCAGCTTCATGGAAAATGGATAACACGAAGCCTGTATGCTTGTGGTTACCAACCAACAGGATGAAGCTTACCCAACAAGATGAATGGGCATCAGAAGTCAGTAGGCCTGTTTTTTTTGGTTTTTTTTGAGACAGAGTCTACTTTGTTCCCAGGCTAGAGTGAGTGCCGTGGCTCAGCCTGCTCACAGCAACCTCAATCTCCTGGGCTCAAATGCAGCCTCCTGCCCAGCCTCCCGAGTAGCTGGGACTACAGCATGTGCCACCATGCCTAGTTAATTTTTTTCTATATAAAGTTGCCAATTAATTTCTTTTTTCTTTTTTTTTTTTTTTTGAGACAGAGTCTCACTTTGTTGCTCAGGCTAGAGTGAGTGCCGTGGCGTCAGCCTGGCTCACAGCAACCTCAATCTCCTGGGCTCAGCGATCCTACTGCCTCAGCCTCCCAGGTAGCTGGGACTACAGGCATGCGCCACCATGCCGGTAATTTGTATATATATTTTTAGTTGGTCAATTATTTCTTTCTATTTTTTGGTGAGACGGGGTCTCGCTCAGCTGTTTCGAACTCTTACCTTGAGCGATCGCCCGCCCGCCTCACCAAAGTGCTAGGATTACAGGCGTGAGCACCGCGCCGCCTCTTTTTTAATTTAAGTAAGACGGGGTCTCACCTTGCTCAGGCTGTTTCGAACTCCTGACCTCAAGCTATCCGTTCTCAGCCTCCCAGAGTGCTAGGATTACAGGTGTGAGCCGCTGCACCCAGCCTAGTAAGGCTGTTTTAAAGGAAATTATTCCTAGGTTTGAACTTCCATCAACTCCCAAAATGATATCAGAACAGCTTTTATTGTCAAAATTACTCAAAAAAACAAATATCAAAAATTTTATAAATTGATTGCAAATTCATTCATCATGGGAGACCCCAGTCTTCTGGGAAAACTGAATGGATAAATAGAACTTTGAAAAAGATTCTCGAGATTGTGAAGAGACCGATTTAACTTGAACAAAGGTTATCTCTTGCCCTGTTAAGACTTCAGGTCTTAACTTCGCCCCCAAAGAAGTAAGTTGGCACTTAGCCCCTTTAAATTTTTATATGGGAAACTATTCCTAAGCTTCTAGCCAGAGCTCAACAGTGATTCAAGGGATGGAGGCTGGTTCATATGTAAACAACTTGTCAATCATAACACTATTCTTGAATTTACTCCACAGGCTCAGTTTTCACATAAAATGCCCCTTTATCTCATAAACTCAGAGACAAAAGTATTACTGAAAACCTAGGAAAAACAACGCTGAGGATCAACACAGCCACGAGTGAAATCGGCCTATCTGACCGTGCTCCTTGAACAACCACTCATCGGTCAACCTCAGGATTTAGGCTGTGGATTATCACACCCAATAAAAGAGGACCTACCAGAGACCCCATGCATCCGCAGCATTTCACACACGTCTGAGGGACTGGAAACAGTGGGCGTTGAGCCATTAGATTAGGACAAATCCATTCTTCCACAACAAAATAAGTAACATCGAAATTATATATCCTATACATCTTATTTGTTCCTTGAATTTTTGCTTGTCTGATAAAACAATCTTGAGAGAGCTGTGTTGGAGGTCTAGCAGGGGACACAGCTACCGTGATATCCTGACCCAAAGACAGTCCTCCTCTAGCCTCAACGACACACAGCTTGGCGGGACACACGCATGGAGCAGTGAGGGAGGAAGGGACACTGCCTAGCCAGCCAGATCACCGAATCAACCTGGAGATCAATGAGGTGTACAGATGTTGCACCAGGATTGCCTCAATTCCATTGATAGAACAATTCTTATTTTTTTTTTCATATTACACTTCTCTTATCTAGAACAAATTCTCTCTAGTAAAAATTTCCCAAGCTAGTGCCTCCACTAACCTATCTATCTGACCTGGGTTTATCATCCAAAACCTCATTCAGTGTTAATACAATCTTGAACCGTTCTGTCCGTATATAGTTCACTAATGTACCCTCCTGTTACATTGACTTAAAGAAACCTGCCTCTTGGTTGCTTAACAAGAGTTATGACTAATAACCTGTAACTCAGAGTTCCATGTGTTCTTTCTTACACCAGCCCCTTATCAGATGTTATATACAAGAAACTCATACTCAATAAGTATACTTTCACCTGGCAATGAGGTCTCTTTTAATTGACCACCGATTGTAAAAACCACTACTACAGTCTTTTTGCACCACCTCTCTTTAGATTATCTCATTAAAAAGTTTAGGCCCGC